AAAAAAAAAAAAAAAAAAAAAAAAAAGTTGCTAAAATTTTTTTAAAAATTTATAATTACATTTTTTTCAATCTTTATCTTCTTTTCCTTCTTACTCTCCTTCTTTTTTTTTTTTTTTTCGTTTTCGTCTTCTTTATCGTTTACTGTCATTGAAGTTATTAGTGGGTGAAGAAAAGGTGAAGAGAAGAGAACGGAGACGACGGGCGTTTGATTCGCATTTTTACGTTTTGGTCATCGTTAGTTATCCTTATTTTTATTTGCATCATTTTTTATTTGCTGAACAATTTTCTTCAGCAAAACCTAAATTTTTTTTGAGTTTTGCTTAATTAAATTGCTTTTTATTTTTGGTTGGTACAGTTGTTATCGTATCAATCAACCAACCTTAGTGGAAAGGTGCAAAAAAGAAGTTTTTTTTGCGTTTCATGAAAATAATGCAAACGTTAAAATATACCCGGTTTTTTAGTGCCAACAATAATTAATTGACAGTTTTGCCTATCAATTTGTACAAATTTATTTCGCAGTTTACATATAGTATTAGCCAAACTAAGTCAAGCTTCAGTTATTCGCATTTGCACCAGTACCAGTATCGCTTTCTATATTTTAATTGAGTTTTTCTATTTGAAAAAGTATCTTTTTTTTTTAAAAGCTTTTTTCAACTGGAGAGGGAAAGCCAGTATCAAAAGATATTGAAATTGTAAAGAAGTTTTAAAATGAGTTTTTTTTTCTATTTTTTAACCTTACTAATAGCCTTTGAGTTCTTTTGTATAATTTTTGGAGTACTAAGGTGACAGCAGTGAACAGCAAACAGATTGAAGCCACTAATTGCAATCAACAAATTCTGTAACCTTGAGAACAATTTTTTTTTGCCTCATTGCAAATCTTTATGGTTTGTACTTTAAGTGTTTTGAACTTATAATGATCACTGCAGTATTTAAGCAGCTTCATTATCTTTTTGTTTTAATTTCCGTCAAAGTTGACCGAATGTTAATGTACTGGCAATAATTGTTTCCATGATTGCCGCTGTCTCATCTGTAAATTGTTCAGGTAACAAGAAAAG